TTGTTTTCTGGCTTAGTTTTTGTTTCTCTTATGTGAGACTCTGTGTTCTGCTAATGTTGATTGTAATTTGTAACTTTGGATTTCAGGCTAATGTTGATTGCAATTTGTAACTCTGGATTTCAGGGCAAGACAGGCATGCCCACCATGAAATGTACAGTCTAGTTTGTTGTGTCTCTAAGTACTAATTGCCAACTTTCCTTGCTCAGACTTTACATGAACCAAGAAAACTGTGTTAAGTAATTTCAATTGGTGATAGTGAATTGGTAATGAACTTCAGTTTTCTACACAATTATAATAAATGAGTTACGAAGGATTTGGTGTAGGGAGAAATGTAACTGATTAATATTGATTTGAATAAGAATGAGAAAACTTGATTCAGAATGAGAAAATAAGTGTTAGAGTGATTATGTGTACTTCTTTTTTTCCTCTTGGAAATAAGAATGGATTTTGTGGAAAAGAAGTTAAATAACATTTCCCTTCAAAGGATAAAACTTTGAAAAAATTCCTATATGTCGAATTCTGATGCTACGTAATTTCATATGTTAATTTATAGTGTTTTGAGTAATCCATGTAGATTTTGACTTCTATCTCTGGCTAAGACTTGTAAAACTATAAAACAATTAAGTAATACAAATATATATTAAAAGTCAATAATTTTTAGACATTTTTTAAGGAACTTCAGTTTGACATACAAATTGTATAAAAATAGTTATATTTATCTTTATATTAATGACTAAGTTGTATGTTAATATTAATTGAAAATAATACAATTATTTATCAATTAAATTAATTTATCTATAAGTTTATTAAGCTGTAAAGACTATTATAATACAAGACGAGTAAGTTTAGCTAGCATTCCAACTCCTCTCGCTCGAACCCTAGCCAAATCTCCGTCGCTGCGTGTCTTCCCCGGCGGGCAGCCAATCCCTTCGCTGGTGGATGGCCCGTAGCTGCGCGGCCACCCTAGGTTTTTTCGGCACTGACAGTAGATTCACGACATCCTTTGGTCGGCTCCGTCTCTATACGGTAGTCGATGGCGGGCTCGACGACTGCTCTTCCGATTTGTGTCCGATTGCTGAATGGTGGTGTGTGGTAAGGGTGTTGGTCGCGGCCCTGGTTGCTCGGCTCGTCTGAGTTGCGGCGGCGGGGGGCTGAGGATGATCGATTTTGGCCCTTGGGTCCCTATTCTGCTGGTGTTGTGGCTTTGGGATGTCGGCACGCCCGAATCTAGGCCAGTCGTGTTGGCCGGGTCTCAAGAAGTTGGTGTGTGGGGGGCTGGTCGATGCTCTTCTAGCTGTGGGTCGACTTCATTCTTGGAGTGGTTCGAGGTTTAGGGCTCGTTTTTTGCTAGGCATTTAGGCAGTGGCGGGAGTGGTGTTCTGGATTTTGGGTCAAGCTGTGGGATGGTTGGTCCTTATTTCGCTGGTGCTTTGTCCCAAGTTTGGTTATCCCGCAGGGGAAGGGTTGTTCTTGTCCGTTTTTGTTCGATTTGTTTTTATTAGTTTTAGTTTGTGTTGTCTTGTTCGTTATTGTCTAGGATCTGTGTTTTCTGTTTGGGCTGTTGCCTCTGTGTGCCCGAGTGAGAGTGGGCATTGTCCCTTTAGGACCGTTTCTATTCTCCTTTTGGGAGTTTGGTAGTTTTTTTCTTTATTCGTGTTTGTTGTGTATGTTGGGTCGTGAGGCTTGTTTTGGTTTCTAGCCATTGCTAGTTTCGGTTTATTTAGCTTTTGGTTGTATAATTCAACTATGAGTTGTACTTATTNCACCTCCGCCACCACCCCGCCGCCTCGAGCTATTGCTGCTGCTTCCCTCCATATTCCTCGTGCCACCACCATCCCCCGCCGCCGCCAGATTATCACCGATTTTACCACCAGCCGCCCCAACCCTCATCCCAAATCCACCTCCCAGATTCGCATCAATACCACACCCGCTTTCGAGGGCGTTATCTCGTGGAGGAGAGAGATGCTCGAGCCACAATCGCCTCCCTCCTCCGCCGCATCGCCGCCCTCGAATCCGCCCTCCGCGGCCGCTCCTCCGCTTCCACCTCACACTCCCTCCGCGACGCCGCCGCCCGCACCATCCAGTCTCACTTCCGAGCCTTCCTGTTGCGCAGATCGAGGACTCTCCGGCAGCTCAAGGACCTCGCTACCATCAAATCTGCTCTCGGCGTTCTCAAATCGTCAGTTACCAAGCAAATCCACTTCGATTACGACTTAATCTATCAACAGGCCATGGATTTGGCCCTCGAACTTGATGCTGTTCAGGTAATAGATAGAGTCTTGCTATGGATGCATTGTACATTGTTTATCTTGGTTCATTCTGTTTAGGCAGTTTAGGCTGCAGATCTGATGTTTCTGTTTGTTTGTGCTTATAATTTGAAGGGTGGTGATCCCATGATTCGAGATGGGAAAAGTTTGGTAAAAAGGGAATTGAATAAGTTTATGGATTTTCTAGATGGATTTTACGTCCGGCGGGTGAGCTCTTCAAGTGGAGTAAACATGAGATTGGAAAGCCCTAATTCGAACATTAGGGTTCCCGAAGGTGGAAGAAAAATGGTGAATGTGAAATCTGGGGGTGTGAAAAGTGTTACTATGGAGAAATTGAGGGGGCTTGTTGAAAGAATTGATAAAATAGCAGAGGAGCTTGATGAGGACGAAGAAAGTAAGGTTGTTGAAAGCCCTGAAGTCTTTATGAAGAAGCATTGTGTTTCTGGCAGCAAGAACATGAATTTAGCTAAGCAGCTTTATGGGGTTCGACCCAAAGTGAAAAAAAGCGTGAGTTTTGCCGATGATGGGAAGTTCTACTGTGTGTTAGGGAGAAATTCGGAGCCCATTTTGAATGATGATGATGACGATGATTATGATAGGGAGCTTTATGGGATTCGACCCAAAGTGAAAAAAAGCGTGAGTTTTGCTGGTGATGGGAAGGTCTACTCTGTGCTAGGGAGAAATTCGGAGCCCATTTTGAATGATGATGATGATGATGATAGGGTTAAGTTGGTTAGTAGAGATTTCGAGGATAATGATGTTTGTCGAGAAGTTGAAGAAGATGAAGTTTCTTTGAAGGAAGCTGATGATGAAGAAGATGAAGAGGAAGCTCGATTGGAAAATGACAAAAATAGTGAAAAGGCCACATATGAAGGTAACTTTGAGAGGAGGATTTATAAATCAAGGTGAAGAAGATTGTACGGCTTTTTCAGCTCCATTGCCTTTCACGATGGAAACAAGAGGCAACTTAATCGACAAGAGGACAAAGATGGCTCGTGATTTCTAGTCACTTGCATTGTTTGGATGAAATTTGTGACGTGCGGACAAACGTGGTCGATGAAAGGCCGTAAAGGATGAGACTGATTGCAAAACTTCAGATTGTTGTATGTTTTAACTGTTGTTTGCATCCATTTTGAAGCTGAGCTGTAGAACCGTGTTATTTTTTTATTTTTATTTTTATTTTTCTGGCTCGTCTTTATGCTTGCCTTTCGCATATCTCTTAGTGTTGAGCTTGTGTTGTATGTTATGAGCCTTTGTTGTCAGATGAATTACCGTGGATTTCACTAGCAAGTGTTTTTATGTTTGCCTTTTGGATTTCTCTCAGTGTTGAACTTGTGTTTTGATCTTATATTGTGTGTTTCTTGATATGTGCATAGTACTTTCTTAGTTTGCAATCGATTTTAGATTGTCTATGCTATGGGTAAAATCAACATAGCATTGAACTGCAACGCCAATAAAAAACGGTTAGGAGGGCCTAATAAAAAACCAACCGATTTATTATATGTGTGATTCTTGTTTTGAATAAGATTAAAAATAAGAAAATAAGATATGAGTGCCAAAATTAGTTCTCATATTATTTTAATTTGGAAAAAAATAAAACTCCATCACCATTGTATAGTTTCCAATAAAAAAGCCATAATTTGCTCACTAATAATATACCACTGCCCAGTAATTATTCATATAATATTTTATTATTTCATGTAACATAATTTTGAATATTTAATATTATCTTATTATATATCAAATTCATAATCTTCATAATATTTTACTATTCTCCTAAAAATATGTTTTCCTCTTTTCTATTTATAATTTTTTACCATCTTTTTTTTATTATATAATTATATCAACATATTTTGAAAATTAGGTAGACAATAAAAACACCACATATTAAAAAATTTAAAACATAAATAACGGAATAATAGAAACACCGGACAATATTTTAAATGTGCAAATAAATTAAACTAACGCTTAATTATAATACGAGATAAACTCAGTATATGGAACTAAAAATTGGGCGCGACTAAAATCAGCCACACCAGTTCATGAACGGAAAATGCCCGCCACTGTCCAGCACGCTCAAACACCTCCTCCCACCACCCGCCGGCGCCGGCACCGCCGCGGCATCACAATGCGAATCCCTCTTATACCGCTGCGCCACCACCAAAAAATCCCTCTCCACCACCCAGAAGCTCCACGCCCTTGCCACCACATCCGGCCTCCTCTCAAACCACTTTCTCTCTCTACTGGCCGCCGCCTACGGCCTCTCCGGCCACTCCCCCTACGCCCACAAGCTGTTCGATGATTTGCTCGACCCCACGCTTGTCGCCTACAAATCCATGATCCGAATGCACGTTGAAAATGGGAAACCCCGGGACGCGCTCCAGCTGTTTGTCGAAATGCACCAGTCGGGCAGGCACATTCCTGACGAGTACACCTACCCGTTTGTCATCCGGGCCTGCAGGCAGCTCCTGATGCTCAATCTAGGTGAGATGGTTCATGGGTCGACTGTTAGAAATGGGGTTTTGTCGGGCGGTTTTGTGGGTAATTCTTTGCTCGCAATGTATATGAACTTTGGGTGTACAGATGGGGCTAAACGGGTATTTAGTGAAATGCAGGGTAAAACTGTAGTTTCTTGGAATACAATGATAAGCGGGTACTTTCGTAATGGCCGTGCTAAGGAGGCTCTGTTTGTTTTCAGAACTATGGTGGATAACAAGGTCGAGTTCGATTCTGCTACAATTCTGTCGGTTTTACCCGCTTGTGGGTACCTGAAGGATTTAGATATGGGAAATGAGGTTTACGAGTTGATAAGAGATAAAACCATTATGAAAAGATTGGCTGTTCAAAATGCTTTGATTGATATGTATGTGAAGAGTGGAAAAATCGACGATGCACGTGTCGTGTTCGACGAAATGTCCGAGAGGGATGTTGTGACCTGGACTACTTTACTCAACGGCTATGCTCTGACTGGGGACACAAAACGTGCTGTCGAGCTCTGCCAGTCGATGCAATTCAACGGCATCAAACCTAACGAGGTGACTTTAGCTTCGCTTCTCGCTAGGTGTGCCGACTCACGCAAGACGAAGCTCGGGAAGTGCTTGCACGGGTGGGCCGTTCGCCAGCACATCGACCGTGACGTGAATGTCGAGACTTCACTGATCGATTTCTATGCAAACTCCGATTCTTTCGAGCTCGGCTTTAGGGTTTTCTCGAGGATTTCTTCCAAGAAGAACACCGTCCCGTGGAATGCGATGCTTTCCGGTTGTGTCCGCAATAAACGGGCCCGATTCGCAATCGGGCTTTTCAAGAAAATGCTTTATCACGGCGTGGGGCCCGACGACGCGACTTGGAAGAGCCTACTTCCCGCGTACGCCTTCGAAGCCGATATTCATCAAGCGACGAACGTGCACGGCCATCTCGTAAAATCGGGCTTTGCTAAAAAGCCCGAAATCGCCACCAATTTGATCGATATCTACGCAAAATGCGGATACTTACACTACGCTCATATCTTGTTTGACGAACTTTCTACGAGAAATCGAGATGTTGTCTCGTGGAGCGTTATAATAGCCGGTTATGGGAAGATTGGGGACGGGAAAACCGCGCTCTCTCTCTTTAACCAAATGGTCTCGTCTAACGTTACACCTAATGAGGTCACGTTTACTTCGGTTTTGCATGCTTGCGCACACTCGGGATTAGTGGACGAAGGATTACGTTTGTTCAATTTCATGAGGATTAATAATCGAGAGAGTTTACGCGTGGATCACTATACTTGCATGGTGGATCTACTCGGTCGAGCGAATAGGCTTGAGGAAGCTTATGAAATGATTATTAATAATAATATGCCTTTTGAGGCGAGCTCGAGCCACGCGGTTTGGGGGGCTTTGCTTGGCGCGTGTGCTATACATGATAGTGTCGAGTTGGGCGAAATTGCGGCAAAATGGTTGTTCGAGTTGGAGCCCGAGAATACGGGGAATTATGTGTTGATGGGGAATATTTATTCGGCGGTCGGGAGGTTCGACGATGCCGAGAGAGTGAGGAAGATGATGGATAATGTGGGATTAGTGAAAGCTCCGGCTAATAGTATGATTGAGGTGGGAAATGTGTGACGTGATTTCTTTTGTTTTGTGTTCATTTTTTTAGATTATATATACTCAAGGTTAAAATATTTAAAAAATGAGACAATAAAAAATGATTTAAAATATTTTAATTTGAATGAAGATATGTGCTTTTGATCGAGGACGATGGGAACATGTGATTTATATAGCCGACCCCACTTAGTGGGATTTTAACGACTTGCTAAGATTGATTGATATATAGTCAAGGTTAAATTTTTGGAATAGAACAAAGTTTGGTGGTGTGCAGTTTTTGTGGATTTTTGTTTTTGATGTGTGTAATGTAATGTGTGTTTGTTATTTTGATGCTTCGTGTTTCTAGGCAATTGCAAACCTGGGAATTTTGTTTGATCTGTTTAAGATTGTCTGTAATTGAAATCTCTCAAGTTCAATCCAATGGAAGGGAAGTAGGTAACTGGAAAATGAAGCATTTTATTTCTTGTGGGAGAAAAATAATAATAATAATAATATCTTGAATGAAGCCTTTCATTTCTTGTGTGAGAAAAATAAAGAAAAATAATAATGCCTTGTTGAGGGAGATTTATTTGAAAAATCTTAGAGTGCATGATTTGAAATAATATAATTTCTTTCATTTACATAAAATCTATAAATTCATAAAGAAAAACTAGTACGTATCCCGTGAAATGCGCGAGACATAAATATTAAATGAGTTATTTTCACAAGTTTTGTCCGTTTAAGTATATAAAGCAACAGGATTATCATCTATTTTTCACCTCTTTTAATCACCACTATAATAAACAATAAGGTTACAATCTATTTTGCACGCGTTGTTTTTTAGTCAAAACATTAAATATGAGCATGTTAGGGTTAGCTTGTAAAATAATTAATATATTATCTCACTAACACATTTATAATAATATAAATTTGATTTTAATATATATATATATATATATATATATATATATATATATATATATATATAGGATTTGGTTCAAATGAGAACTAAGTCCTAGCGTGAGAACCGTGAGAACCGCTATTTATAATTGTACGTAGTGCTATGATTGATTTGTTCTAGTGCTATTTTGAAAATGGATCTATTTTCTGAAAAATAGCAACACAATTTATATTAGCATATGTGAAAATGATAGCACCATGTAATATTAAAAATAGCATCACACACAATAAAAAATAGCATCAAATACAGTTCTCACGGTTCTCACACCAGGACTAGTTTTTATTTGAACCACTCCCTATATATATATATATATATATTCCTTGATATAAGAGAGAATAACATTCTACTTATTCTTGTTCACTATATAATACTTAATTATTATTTTATTATAAACTTTGTTGTCATATATTGTCATTATTATTTAGAAAAGTGTATAAATATTTTACAAAATATACACATATATTTTTAAAATTTTTGTATACTAATTAGGAAATGCCAAAAGCTCAATCTCTTCGATGATCAAGATTTTTCTAATTCGCATTATAAGGATTTATAGTTTATTTAGCATACTCTGCAATGAAAATATATTTTACAAGAATTTAATTATAGAAATAAACGAAAATAAAAAAAAATAATCATGGGTGCCAATAATATACAAATAAATTCTAAAAAATACTTAATATATTTCAAACTTAATTTTTTACCATTAGTAAAACTATTTAATGTATCTAGTCATTATCTCTTAAATGGTAAATTATATTAATTTGAAGAATAATTTATTTTTATATTTAACAAAATAAAGCTTAAGAAAAAAATCTATTGGCAAAGATTAATTCACCAACTTGATTTTATCTGATTATTTTTAAAAAAAAATTTACCTAACCTGTACGATTTTTCATAAATTTTTTTGAATAAAAAGTGAATATTTGTGAAAATAAATTAATATTATGGTTAGAACTTAACATATGGTGTAATATTTATCTTGACCAAATTATCAACATGGATCATGTAAATCAATCTTGTAATTTATTATAATGAATATCAATGAAAGTATTACAAATATTAATAAAATAATATTTATCTTGACCAAATTATTATCAACATGAATCACAAAAAATCAATCTTGTAATTTATCATAATAAATATTAATGAAAATATTGCAGATATTAATAAATTTATTTAAGTAATTTTTTGATCATATTTTATTTGATCTTATTTGAAAACGTGTATATAAAAGCAATTAATGTATATATTTAAAAAATTTCCAAAAATAGTATGCATTAAATGTTTCCTAATTTTTTATTTACTATTTTCCTATATCTATACTTATATAATAAGAATTAACATTTATCCAAAATAGTAGGTCAAATTATGATCAATGTCGGATTTGCATTAAATATTTAACAAAACTGGTAATTTTTTGTCCTTTTCACACTTCTCATTAATTATGTCATTTTGACACTTCTCATGTCATTTTCACACATCTAATTAATTCATTAATTACGACATAATTATCATAAATCATTTCGTCTGAGCTTTTATCGTTAAAATGTATAGCGATCTGTTATGACCTTATCCCATTGATATTTCCATGAAGCGTCCTTATCGCGTTCTATTTTTTGGTAACCACTCTATATCAATAATCGGATATTTAGTTAATGATAGCACACATCTTTATTTCAAGGAGCGGATATTCTTTGACCTTTAATTAATCTGAACTGATTGCCTTGACTTTTCAATTTTTAAAAACTTTTTTTTTTTTAAATATTTTGGCTTAAGATTTGGATTAAGATTTGGATTTCATTATACAAGTCATCGGATTGTTTGAATGAAAATGAATGAAAAGAACACCAAAAACAGGTAGCCTTATTCATATAAACAATCCTAAAATATTAGTTTGTTTACCAAAAAGAGACGAATCCTAAAAATCCTAAAATATTAGTTTGTTCACCAATCCTAAAATATTAGTTTGTTCACCAAAAATATTAGTTTGATTTTTAGAATTTGTCTCTTTTGAAAATATTAGATTGTCATAATGAGGAGTTACCAAATAATCAAACTCATAATGTTGTGTACAAGGAGGATTTTAATAATATATGATTGTTACCGAATTTTTTATGATTCAACAATGTTCCTATGTATTTTAATGATTTCAATTTCGATCTTAATGCACGTGAGGTTACATTATTCTTCCAAATTTTACATCTCGTGCATCGCACGGGTTACGTACTAGTTACTATATATCTGAATTGGGATATGTAACATCATATGTTCGTGACATGTGAGCCATGCAGCAAAACTTTTTAGTTATTATCCTTTCACCGGTGATCTTTATTAATTGGGATATATGTTGTTTGTCCGAATAATATATTTCAAGAAACAATATAAATGAATATATGGCATTTTATATTATATTTATTAAGAATATATAATTGTCTAATTTTTAAGAAGAAATGTTGATCAAATCAATCGTTCTACAGTGACTTGTATTTTAAAAAATTTAATAAAAAATCGTAATAGTATAAGATTTCATAATACAAATACCTATTTTTATTTAAAAATACGACAGAAAGCAATCTATTTAACGGTTGAATTGTCTAAGATCGTGCTATCATGTTTGGTTCCTTCAATGAAATTAATTCCCACCGAATTATAGTTCTTGAAACGTATCATGTGAGGCCATTAATAGCATTTATTGTCTTAACTCTTAATCAAACTTTTGTAATTCCTCTAGCTGTATTAGTAGAGAATCATTTTTTTTTTGGTACAATGAATCATTTCAACTCATAATATTGTTATCTTAAAACCTTAAATCTTTAATTTTTGGGGGGTTTATTTCTTATAATTGTTTTTTAAATCTAAAACACAAAAAAGTATACAATACGTTTAATTAAGAGAATATAGCACATTGTTTAAAAAAATATTAAACTTATGTTCGCAAATAATATATTGAAAACAAATTTTATCCAAAACAAATATTATCCGAACTCCAACCCAAAATAAGTTAAATTCCATAACTTTGACTGCCAAAAATCTAATCTGTATTTAGCTCTATTTTTACTTTTTTGTCCACCATTAAATTCGGAAAGTCAAATCTGGCTTTTCCAATTTTCCTCTTACCAATGTTTGAGCTATGCCAAAGAATATTACGACTATTTATAAACTTGGTTTATATTAAAAATTAGAGTTCACATTTTGACTAAAAAGACAAAAAATACAAATACGATGTGAATAATAAGTTTGATTACACAAATAAATGACAAGACGCGAAATATTCGTATAAATAATAAGATAAAAAAATAGGATATAAATACGGCACGATAGTACAGTTTCATTTAATTCAATTATCCACTTAATATTAATATATTTGATTCACTCCCAATTATAATATCTTTTATTATTGATAAAAATTATGAACATGAGAGTTACATATTTATGATTATTAATTAATACTTTTACTATTTTTATGATATTATAATTAATTTATAAATAAAAATATAACAATTTTGCAATTCCACCCAAACTCATTGTTGATTTATTTAGTGATTTTAATTTTTTATTAGTTATTACCATTGGATTTCTATTTTGCTTTTCAAATCTCTATCACACACACAGGTAAATAAAAATGAATTCCATAGAATAAACCAAGCTTAGTTTCTCTCTCTTGCCGTCACTCGACCGACTTCCGATCCAGAGAGAGAAATTCAATCACCAGCCATCGACGGCGAATTTGATTTCCTTCGTGCGAGGCAGAGAATATGCCACACGCTTCATCGTGGCGATTCGGTTGATGCATTTATATCAATCGCATTGATGCCGATTATTTGTTGATTTTGCTGAAAACATTTTTATTTTTGTTTGCATCGAGCAATCAATCGGAAAATATAGCTTTCGTCGATTTTCTTTCGAGGAATCATATGGCGGCGGTGCCGGCAGCTGGGTGAAGGATGTTCGGATAGCGGGATAGGTGAAATAGCTGCGGCGGTGGATTTGATGGTGAGGATTGCGCTGTCGTTTTGGAGGAATTGTTGGGACCTGGATTTGTCGGAGGTGATTGCCGTTGATTGTATTGGCGGCGGCGTCGGCGGCGGTTCCGGTGGTGGTTCGCGTGGTGATTTGTCGAATTGTCGGAGGGCAAAAGTGGGGAACAGGAGGTTAGCTGTGGGGACGGGTGGCGGCAGGGGAAGATGCAGCTGCACTTCTCACCTAGCATGAGAAGTATAACGATATCCTCGAGCAGCAGCAGTGGAGTAAATGTAAATGGAGTCGGAGATTTGATGAAGATCAAGGTCGCAGCACGCCACATTTCGTACCGCACGTTGTTCCACACCATCCTGATACTTGCTTTTTTGTTACCGTTTGTGTTCATCCTGACCGCCCTCGTCACCCTTGAAGGTGTCAACAAGTGCTCCTCGATCGGTACTTTCTCGGATGCTGCTTAGCCCCTTGGATTTTTTTTTTGGGTTTTGATTTTTTTGGATTTTCATGTTAGATATTGTTTGTTACTCCTTTGTTAAGCTGTATGGATTGATATGAGTTCTGAATTGTGATTCTTGTCATATTGGGTCTGATACTGGGCTTTATTATAGATAAGTTGAAATAGTAGTGATTATGGGAAAGATAAATAGAGAAAAACTCAATCTGCGACATGAATCAAGAAACCAAGGCAGGGAAATTCAGTCTTGATATTGTTGTTCAGATGTTTCTGAACATGTTAGTAGTGATTATGACATGGACAAAGGAAAAGTTTCAGTAGCATTTTTTTATCCTGATTTGCTGATCAAAAAGTTCATTAGTTTCCCTTGTTTTATTACCTTTTATTGTACATCCCTGCCATTGCTTTACTTTTGTCGCTTTTAAACACTTTCCTTGTTTAGCTGTATAGTTTAGTTTCTATACCAGAAAGTTATTGTTTCGTCTGTTGAGACATGTTTTTCAACTTTGATTTTATATTGTTATCAGATTGTTTAGGAAGACGCTTGGGGCCAAAGCTTCTCGGTAGAAGCGATGATTCTGGGGTAAAATATATTATGTTTCTGTTTGATGATTTTCTATGATTGATTTTATTATTTAAGGTGTCGATCTAGATGCTCATCTATATCGGTTTATTCATTCTAATGACCATGACAAACCATCATTATTGTTGTTTTATATGGCAGAGGCTGGTCAAGGACTTCATTAAGATCCTGAATCAAGTGAACTCTGAGAAAGTTCCTGATGGCCTGAAGCTCCCAGACTCTTTTAATCAGCTTGTTTCTGACATGAAAAACAATAAGTACAATTCGAAGGAGTTTGCTCTTATTTTGAAAGGAATGGTATGTTTTCCCCAAACTCCCTATATATATATATGTATGTGTATATATATATATATTTTTTTTTTTTTTTTTTGCATGAAT